CTTTAAAAAAATGGATATATTAATAGCATACCTCACAGGGTTGTTGTCAGGATTAATTATTATAGCATATGTAAAATGCTATATAAACCTTAAAGCACTATATAAATACAATGAATATAATTAACAATAACAACAACAATAATATTAATAATGAAGATGATGATTTGTAACACAAAATTACCTGTATGACCTTAGGCAGTGACTTAGCTTCCCTGGACCTTGGTTACTTCTTGTATAAGATGAATGGATTGCACCAGACGCCACTAAGGTACAATCCAGATCTACAGCTAGACCTATATATGATCACTGATGATTACTGTAGTCCCTATGGCTCTAAGACCTATAATCCTATAATACAATTCTCAAGTATTGGAACACCCAATAGGAGTAATTGATGATTACTACCAATTACCGAAGTCTTGTATGGCTATTGGGAAAGACTGTATGGATGACTGTAGTGAAAAGTACTCTAAAGATTAACCCGTGTGTGTCCTCCTTTGACTTTCCATGGGCTTCTGATAACTCTCAGAGTGGTCCAACAAGGCACTATTTTTATCCATTTAAAAGGTGTTGCCAGGTTGGCCCACTTCTGCCCACTTAGGCAGAGTGGGCACCATTGAAGAAGAAATTTCCCTTTAAAGGCAGCAGCGGTAGAAAAAAGAAAAAAGAAAAAGAAAAAATGTATTTATTAATGCCTTATGTATTGTCCCTCACCTCTGCCACTACAGGAAAAGGCCTGTAGCCTCAATTTTGTAGGTAATAAGAACTGTAAGAACTAATAAGAATTGCATATTTTATTGACATGTCCTAAACATTCTTCATTCTAAGAACTTCTCATAGTACCTGGGAAGAGGCATTGCTTTTTCCTGTATCTCAGACATATATCATATTTGGAGCAAGTTACTTTTTTCATATCTTCCTACTCAATTCAATTCAAATAAATGAATATGAAACACCTAAAATGTGCCAGGTACTTTACTGGATGCCAGAGAGACAAAGATAAGTCCTCCAAAATACATATTTTGCATATATTAGCAGCTCAACTGAAAAATTCAAATTATGTATCTCCCTCAGCACCTAGTCTAGTAATGTGCACATAGTCAATATTTTAAAAAAAATGTTTGTTTAGTGAATGAATAAATTAGTAAACGAATAAAAGCATACTATTGGCCATGGTTCTAATACGATTCAAGTTCTTTAACCCTCGAGTACCACAAGAAAACCAACCATCTCCAAAACCTGTTATTACTTAGTATTGTTTATCTGGGCTTTTGTACAAGTAGGAACTAACTGTCTATAAGAACTAGATAGGAAACTTTATTAGTGTTTTTATCAACACTAGCTCTCCTCAAAAAGGTGAGTGTATTTTTTTAAATTAAATTTCATTTCATTTTCAACTATCCATCTTCTCCCCCTCTCATCCCCTCACCTTTAGTTAAGAATGCAAGGAAAACAAAACCTATATTATAATCGTTTATAGTCATTTAAAACAAATTCTCACATTGGCCATGTCCTCCCTCAAAATATATCAATCTGTATATTGTGTCAGGAGGTGGGTGGCAGGGCTCATCACGAGTACTCTGGAACTGTGGTTGGTCAATGTGTTATCTGAGCAGTTAGGTAGCACTGTGGATAGAGTGCTGAGCATGGAGTCAGAAAGACTCATCTTTCTGAGTTCAGATCTGGCCTCAGACACTTGCTAGCTGTGTGACCCTGGGCAAGTCACTTACCCCTGTTGACCTCAGTTTCTTCAACTGTAAAATGAACTAGAGAAGGAAACGGCAAATCACTCCAGTATCTTTGTGAAGAAAACTTCAAATGGGGTCATGAAGAGTCAGACATGACTGAAAATGACTGAACAACAACTACATATTGATCAGAAATCTTGTCTTTCAAAGTTTTTTTGTCTTTCCAGTATTACTGTTACTATATAAATTATTCTTCTGGTTCTGTATACTTTGTATCAGTTCATGCAATATTTCCCATATTTCTCTGAAATTATCACCTTCATCATTTCTTATAGTACAATAATATCCCATCACATACATATGCCATAACTTGTTCAGCCATTCCCCAATTATAAGCACACCTTGTAAAAGAGCTACTATAAAAAAGTGTTTGTTTGTTTTCACAGAAACAAGTCCTTTTCCTCTTGTTTTGATTTCTTAAGCATAGAAACACGGGCATATTTCAGGGTCTTTGAGCTCTGGATTAATTAGCTGAGCTTGTGGTACTGTTCTTTAATGGTACTTTGCCCTAGGAGGAACTCAGATGATTTCATGCATTATCTGGAATTCTATGTTTCCTTTCATTGGAACAGCTGTTACAGTTGGGGATTCTTGAAGAATGAGATCTCTTTTTGGAATTGTTCTCTTCTAGGGCACATTAAAAAAGTTGGACAGGTATAGCCTAAGGAAAATCATGACTAAACTAGTCTAACTACACAGTGAGAAACACTTAGAAATTAGGGACCACAGTCTAGAACTGAGTAATTTACTTTTCAATGCACTGCAATTACCTTGCCATAGTATATTATTCTTGAATTTTATATTTTATTTAACCTTGTTAATAACCTCCTACAGAAATCTACTCTTAATATCTTGCATATGTAGAAAGCATAGGCAGAAGAAGAGAAGGGAAAGAGGGAAGTAGGTGATGAAATGAGGAACTCTGATATGGTAGAAGTAGTTTGAATATGGTGGATCTCTGAATCTGGGGAGCTGAATTGTCTCAAGGGTCAGGAACATACAAGACTGGGGCTAGAGTGATCAAGCAAGTTTAAAAAATAGTAAAAGGTGAGAGGCAGAAAGGCATGTTGGATAGAGAGCTGTCCTTAGAATCAGGAAGATGAGGATTCAAATTTCACCTTTGCCACATATTGGCTGAGTGACTGTGAGTAATTCACTTAACCTTTCAGTACTCTAGAAAAATCTCTAATGCTAAATATTACACATTAGTTGCTGATCTCCATTGACAATGGGAATTCCCTCACCAGGCATCTCCCTATACTGATGAAATCACAGGTCCAGATGGAAGAGAGGCATGAAGAAAAGGAGATATGAAGGAAGAAAGGCAAGCAGTCCAGCACTGGTGTCAGAGGCAAAAGTCTCTGGGAAACTGGCCTGATTATGGTTTAGTTGACTACTGGAAATTGGTGGTCTTGATATGAAAGTCAGATCCTAAATGTTTATCTGAGATATAACATTCTAAGGAACTGTTCCAACCTACCAGTTGAGAAAATAAACCCCCAGGAAAAAAAGGAGTGGAGAAAGAGAATTTGTAATCATACCACAGATAATTTCAGATCTGGAACAACAGAGCATGTCACATAAGCACTATATTTAAAACAAAAAAAATAAAATAGGAATTTGAGAATTAAGTGGAAGCCTGGGATTAGTAGTTCAAAGAAACAAACATCCCTTTCAACCTTGAGATTGATTTGGTACTTTTGTTATCTTTAAGCTAGAAGGTGGACTGGAGTCATGCCTATGAGTTCTTAAACGGATATTCAGTCTTCCAGAGATAGGAACTCAAAAGGAAGGACTGGGGATTGCAAGAGCTGAACAGTAACAGCAGAGAGGAGATAGCAATCCCAGACACCATCCAAGATTTAAGAAGCTAAACCAGAGATATTGAAAGAAGAAACTAAAAGGAAGGCTGAGTTGTGGTAGAAAAAGGAAAGATTATGGGGGGTCATCAGGCTCTTACAGGCACCTCAAAGCATAAGACTCATGATGATGCCACTTGTTGTATCTATCTCTTTAAGGATTGTGTAAAGTCTAATAAAAGGGGCAAGGTCCAACTTCCTATCCCCAGATCTATCCTATAACAGATACTTTCTCTTTCTTCTTTATCTAAACAATTCCTGTATCATGATTTTGCCTCAAACATAGAGCCTAGAGGTAAATGAAAATTTAAATTAGAGCAGAGAGCTAGACCATAGAATAAAGGGGATAAGTGAACCTGATGGCCATTATAGTGCCCCTCAGCTAAAAAGTAAGCTAATTGTTTTGAATAGTGTGGCTGATTAAATTTCCAGAGAGAAAGGGTACAGAGAGAAGTCAGTGACCAAAGAAAAGAACATAACCTCACCTACTCCCTAGGGAAGGGATAGGAAAAGCCAGAGAAAAAATTCAATTATTTCTCACATAACAGAGGAAAGGAAATAGAAAAGATGAAGTAGGGGTGGGGCATCTCTACCTTATACAGTGACAGCCATCTGTATTACAAAAAGAACTACTGAACTTAGCAGATATCTGGAAAGCAAATTGATATAATATTATTTCTAGGGTAAGAGTTTGCTTAAATAAATAAATAAGCAAATAAATAACAAACAAATAAATAATTCAACTCAAGGAGCATCTATTTTATATGAAACTTCAGATCTCATATTGCCAATAAAGCAATGGATAATTAACCACATGTGTTCTAGTTATAGATTTCAATAAAAACATAATTGAAAGATTGCTGTTATTCAATCCAATAAATATTTTATCTACCCAAATGTAAAAAAAACCCCACAAAACTATGAAAAATGTTACCTAACTGTTTAAATTAAATAAAAATACTGGAGTCAAATAAATCCATCATGGGTTTGAATAATGGAGTCTACATAGTGGCTAAGCAATCACATTGGAATTTTAATCTTAAAATAAATGCCTAAGTTACTGATTTAGCAAATTGAGACAATAGGCCAACCCCTGCATTTCTAAACTATCAAAGATTAAAAAAATATTCCCTTGAAATCCAAACAGGAACATGACTTAACAGATTTGCTAAGGCAGTTCTATCCTGGGATAGATATATCCTAGTAGCATCCAACACAAACATGTTTATCATGCTGCCTACAGACTTAACAAAGGGAATATTTTCTTTTCTTGTGTAACACACATCCCACTGACTTGAAAACACTCCTATTGACTAGCAGGCTTCTCAAATAATTTAGTGTGCTTTTGAATATATTTAGTCCAAAATAAGGTAAGAAAACATCTGTTACTTACGTTTTTGAGTCATCCCACAGCACACAATAAGGATTCAAAGTACCCTAAAAAAAAGAGAAGAAAAAAACAAATAGAACTTGAGTAAATAAAATTTTAAGAATAAGGCATTATAGGAAATACAATCAAAATTAGATATGATCTTGCAGTATGGTGCTGGAAAAATCATCCTCCTTATTTTAATAATTTATCCTTCATTTTATTTCATAGATGTAATTTTGCATTTTTAAGTTAGACTAAGTACTCCTACATAATTTCAATCATAATAATAGATTAATTACTTTCAAAGCTTAGGTTTTTTGACCTATGATTATTAGGAAAAGCAGTGAGGTAGAGGACTGGTCTCAGAGTTAGGAAGACCTAGGCTTGAATCTTGCCTGTAATAATACATACTTTCTATCTGACCATGAGAAAGTTAATTAATGTCTTAATGTCCAAAGCAACCCTCTAAGACTCCAGGAGGCTGATCTGTATCCACAGAAGGAATTTCCTTAGAAGGAGTTGCCTACACTTAAATAAATAACCAAATAAACAAACAGATATTTTTAAAGTCTCGATTACAGAACAAAAAGAATTTTTAAAAATTAAGATCATTAGAAAATAAGTTCTGCAAAGTGGAAAATTCTGGTAAACTGTCACATATTATGTTTTATATTTTGAAAGATACACAATTAATCTTTCTTTAGTCCAAAAATATTGTTACATAATCGTATCCAAGAAGGCAAACAACTTTCCCTATAATTAAATTATAATTAAGTATTTTAAAATCTGACATATTATAATTTAGATGAGGAAACAATGATAGTAAGCCCCAAAATAGACTGAACCTGTTTTGTGGTCTATGTGTGTGTGTGTGTGTGTGTGTGTGTGTGTGTGTGTGTGTGTGTGT